AGGCGGCGAGGCGGGAGGGCGGCGGGCGGCGAGGGCGAAGCGGATGGCGGCGGCAGCGACGGCGAGACGGACGGCGGTAGCGGCGAGGGCGAGGCGGAGGGCGGTGGCGGTGACGGCGACGCGGACGGCGACGGCGGCGACGGGGATCCGGAGGGAGGCGGCGGCGATGGCAATGCGGAGGGAGGGCGAGGTCGGCGGCGCGGCGGCGGCGGCAGCGTCGAGGCGGAGGGAGGCGGCGGCGGTGGCGGCAAGGCGGAGGGAGGCAAAGGAGACGGCGAGGCGGAGGGAGACGGCGGCGAGGGCGAGGTTGATGGCGGCGGCGGCGGCGGTGAGGTGGAGGCAGGGAGGCGGCGGCGGCGGTGAGGTGGAGGCAGGGAGGCGGCGGCAACGGCGAGGCGGAGGGAGGCGCGAGGGCGACGCGGAGGGAGGCGACGGCAAGGCGGAGGTAGGCGAGAGCGAGGCCGACGGCACTTGCGCCCCGCTAGCAACGAGGCTTACAAGAAGGCAGTGGCGGAGATGGCGAGGCGGAGGGAGGAGGCGGCGACGGCGAGGCGGAGGGAGGCGGCGGCAACGGCGGTCGGGAGGGCGACGATTTTGCGATGGCGGCGGCGACACAGACAGAGCCGCGGCGGCGCGGCGGACTCGGCGTCCGGCGAGGGTCCGAGTCCGGGGCAACGGGAGGCGGTGGCGAGGGCGAGGCCAACGCGGAAACGATGATAGAACAGCTGAGTTTGCACACAGGACACAGGGAAAGATACCAGCAACGTACTCGGCGCAGCCACTCAACGTGTCACACGACCTCGTCCGACCCACCCCCCGGCGGCTCTCCGGCGGGCTCCAGCTCGCTCGGCTCGAGAAGCTGGCTCGGCTCCTCGCTCGGCTCGACGGGTAAGGCGGAGGCGCCGCTCGTGCGCCGCGACCGCTCGCGAAAGACGGACCTCACCCAGCGATTGAACTCGTCGAGCTGCAGCGTGCTCTCGATCACGGAGAGGAGCGCGGCGCGGTCTTGCGGCAAGAAGCAGCGCGCGTGCGCGGCGTCGAAGCGGTCGAAGGAGGCCAGTAGCTGCTGCCGCGCCTCGCGCCTCGCGCCCTCCGACTCGCCCGCGGCGAGCGGCACGACACAGATGCGGTGCGAGTCCGCAGACATCGCCATAAAGGTGAAGAGCTCCATCACGCACCTGCTCGCCACCAGCGCAGGGCGAGTGAGTCCGTCCCAAGTCGTTAGCCATGGCCCGTGACGCGCTCCATCGCGCACGGGCGCCGGAACGAGAGTGAGTGCGCCGTTCCCAAATCATTAGCTATGAGGGCAGAGCGCTCCACCGCGCACTAGAGTCGAGACGCGTACGTCGGGCCCGTCTCGGAAGTGTCTCGGAAGTGTCTCGGAAATGTCTCGGAAGTGTCTCGGAAGTGCACCAGAGGCGAGACGCGTACGTCGGGCCCGCCAGCACGAGCAGCGTCTTGCACCTAATGAGTTCGTTCCTCGCGCCTAATGAGTTCGCCCACTACGCCCTGCACGAGCGGCGCCTCGCACCCCGCCACAAAGACCGGCAGGCAGGGCAGCGAGTCGGCGATCCGCGACTGGTCGATGCACGCGCGGTCGAGCCAGAGCGTGGGCGGCCGCCCCTCCTCCGCCTAAGTCTCGGCCCAATCTCGGGTCATCTCCGCCGAGGCAGAGTGGCGGCGGCCACTCTCCCTCCTCCGCCTCGAAGCGCCTCGCCCAGCTGCAGAGCGCCGCCCACTTTGGCGCCTCGGGGTCGTGCCAGCTGTGAGAGAGGAAGGCGTCGCACGCGCCCAAACTGCACGGCTGCGTGCGCGCCGCGAGGCCGCCGCCTCCCTCGCTGCCGAGGGCCGAGGCGAGGTCCTCTCGCTTCAGCCGGTCGAACCGGATGGCGCGGAAGTTGGCCTCGGCGAGCGGCAGCAGCTCGGCGCGGGAGAGCTGACCTAGACAGTTCCTAGACAGTTCCTAGACAGTTCCTAGACAGTTCCTTGGCCCTCGGCGCGGGAGAGCTGACCCATCGAGCAGAGCGAGGCGACGACCGCCGCGTTGCGCTCTTCGCGTGTCGCGCCGAGCCGGCTCAGCGCGGCGAGGGCGGCACCGCGCACGCGCCGGTGCAGCACGACCGTGGCGCAGCAGAGATACAGCATGCCGGTGAGCAGGCCGACGGCGCATCGGCCCGGGCTGCAGCTGCCGTCGCCCGCCTTGCCGGCGGTGCGCATCGCCCAATACGTGACGTTGAGCACCCCGTCGACGGCAAAGACGGCGCGGACCGGCGAGATGAGCCGCCGCAGCCGCTCGTGCGGCGGAGAGCTGCGCCAGAGCAGCGGCAGCGCCACGGCGGCCGCGACGTACGAAGCGGCGATGGTGAGGGCGAGGGAGTCACTCCATTTCTCATCGGCGGAGCCGCCGAGCGCCATGCTCTCGCCGTCGTACCAGCCCAGCAGGGCCACGTGCGCCACCGCCATCACCACCGAGAGGGCGACCGCGCAGATGTAGCCCGCGCTGATGGCGCGGCCCTCGTCGGGCCTCAGAGCGCACAGCGCCGCCGAGGCCGCGACCACGATGGCGTCCTTGCACGGGACGAGTGGAGAGGAGCCGGGCCACGGCAGCGACGCCGCGCCGAAGACGATCGGCGGCAGGCCCCAGATAAGGAAGGACGCCGCCGCGAAGAGCAGCCCGCCCTGAACCCTCGCGCGCAGCAGGCGGGCAGCAGCGGCGGCGCCCTCGAGCTTCGCGCTGACCGAGGCGGTGTTCGCGGGCGGCGCTCCTCCTCGGAAGAAGGCCGGGAGGACGGTGGTGGTGAGCTCGACGGCGCGAGGGAGATTCGCTTCACGGGCGGTGTTCGAGACACCGCCGGTCTTCCTTTCCCGCGTCGACGCTCGCAAGAAGCGGTGGAAGCAGAGCAGGAGGAGGAGGGTGCTGAGGCATCCGAAGACGAGGTAGCCGATAGGCGCCGGCTCCATCAGGACGTAAGGGAGGCGCGAGGCTCCGATCTCTCAGCCAAGGGAGCCGCCCGCGCGGAGGCGGCCGGGCCTGGCGACGTTTTTCTTTTTTACACCCCCCGGAAGGAGGCAACAAAGACCACCTAGTATATCGCACTGTGCTGTGAACATAACACTAACCAACAAATCTCAACAAAGCGAGCGGAGCGAGCCGAAGAGTGGCAGCGACCAGAGCAAGCGACCTCCCGCATGACGGGTAGACCACACCGTCCACAAGGCGCCTTTCCCTCCGAGTCTTCTGATAAACGCAGTATAGAAGATACAAAGAGACGGAGGAGCAACGAGCGCCCTGGCGTGAGCCAAAGACACTCCCCTCCGTAGAGACACTGATCACACACGGGTGGGACAGAGCGATAGCGCAGCGCACTGCCGTCCAGTCGGCGAAGGGACCAGGGGCCTCGAGGTGGCCCCCACCCTGGGACCTCCCATCAAAGGGACTGCTTGTCCCGTTTGATGGGGCAAAGTCACGGGCCGCTTGAAGGCGGTCGCGCCAGGCGCGGGCGGCACTAGTTGCCGGCGATCCGCTTGGGCAGCGCCCGCGCTTGCCTCTGACTAGGTCTCCATAGGTCGAGGTCGAGGGCCGCCGCCTGAAGAAGGGGTGTGCGACCGGTGTCCAGCTGGACGCGTGGCGGCGCCCAAGTTGAGCGCCGCCTCGGCCGCAGCGCAGGCTCGCGCCGCCTCAACCTTAGCGCCGAGCTCTGGAGACACGTCGATCGAAGCGCAGCCGGCGTGGCGGCGCCGCTCGAGCCGCCGGCCCTCGCCCGCCCGCCTCGTGCTCGCCCGCCTCCGTGCAAGCCCCACCCGGGCGGCGGGTGGACCAAGGGGCGTTCCGCCCTGCTTGCTCTCGTAATGCCGTCCCGATCGCACCGGCGGCAGACCTCAACGATGGCGCTGAGCAGGGACCGGCACTCGGAATCAGCGGTGTCGGCATCCTCATTGGCGTTGCCGACCCCCTCAAGAACCGCGGCCTCATCCATGTCCGTGATGACGGCGCTGCGCATCGCGCAGACGATGGCGTTCAGCGTGGCGTCGACGTCGGATCGGAAAGACGCACTGGTCAGCTCGGAGAGGAACTTGTGGAGGAGCGCAGTAAGCTGTGTGGAATTGAGCCGCTCGTCCTCGAGCCAACCGTTGGCCCGGGTGAGGCGGCGGTAACGCCGCCGAAAGTCGGAGTGGACCCGTCCACTCTGAGTGCCAAAACCAGCAGCTAGAAAAGGCTTGACGCCGACAGTCTCGAGGATGATCCTCTGGAGCTTCGGCCGAACTCCAGCAATGTCGGAGCGGATTGCAGCCAAAAGGGCAACGGAAGTGCCACCAGCGCCACTGACCTTGTCGGCCTTCTCGCGGTAGATGGCCCGCAGCGCGTCGTCGGAAAAGAAGGCCTTGAGAAGCGCCTCGGTGACAAGGTTGTCGATCCGCTTGATGACGCGTTGGGAGACGACGATCTCGGCCACAACCGCAGCCTGTCTCTCAGAGACCGTCTTGTGGACAGTTCCGACCTGCGCAAAATCATCGGCGGTGGGTGACTGACTGTCATCGGCGACGAACTCGAGCAAGTCGGCAAAGGCACGCGTCTTGAGCAGCTTCAGCTCGTAGCGCGCGCAGCGCACCGCATCGTGTTGGGTGCAGCAAACAGTGGGCGCAATGTTGTCTATGTAGACAGCGCAATTCGTAGTGAGGAAGAAACCGATGCCATCGCTGTGATGCAGTCGGCTCCACTCGAGAAGAGTGGCCAGGTTCGCCGCAAGCCCGTCGAGGGCGGCGGCACGGTCGAAACTGCATTCCGTCACCATTGCATCAGTTTCTTGTTTAGCGCCATGTAGGAGATCCCGAATTTCGGAATACTCCAAGGCTTTGGTGGGCGTGTCAGGCATGGCCTGAGCAGTGGATAGCGTGTCAGGCTTCACAAAGGGGCTGACGCGACCAGTCGAGTCGCTGCCACGTGCAAGCCCCACCCGGGCGGCGGGTGGACCAAGGGGCGTTCCGCCCTGCTTGCTCTAGGTGAAACGTCTGAAGGACGAAGAAAGCCCAACTCCGCACGACGGGCGGAGAAGACGGGCACTAGACCAGGAAGGACTGGGAGAGTGTGAATGGAGGGACACGTGTGGTTCAGACGGCCTCATGCCCGCCCGCCTCGTGTTCGCCCGCCTCGGCCAGGTGCGACGCGAGGGAGACCACCTGCGCCCCGTCCTGCGGCGCGTGCTCGAAGTTGAGATGTGGGGAGATATGGGGAGAATGTGGGATATCTCGCTACCCCTCAAAGAGCCGGAACCCAGCGATGGTGAGAGCACGTGTGCCTTGCGGCCTGAGCGCCTCGGACGCGGCCGTGCTAGCGGTGGAGCGTGGCGAGGAGGAGGCGGTGCTGGCGTGGCTTGATGGCGGCGGGCGGGTCGACGCTACGTACAAGAGAGGCGGCGTGAGTGGCCTCACGCTGCTGATGGGCGCCGCCAACTACGGCCACGAGCGGGTGATCGAGTTGCTGCTGCGGTACGGCGCAGAGATCAACCTGCAGAACAGCTTCGGCGAGTTCGCGCTGATGTTCGCCGTCAGCCAAGGCCACGAGCGGGTCGTCGACTTGCTGATACAGCGCGGCGCGGAGCTCAACATGCAGAGCAGCAAAGGCCAGACCGCGCTGATGTGCACCGCCATCAACGGCCACGAGCGGTTGGTCGACTTGCTGATTCGGCGCGGCGCGGAGGTCAACCTGCAGAACAGCGGCGGCTACACCGCGCTGATGTTCGCCGCTTTCTTCAACCACCCCGCCGTCGTGCGGCGCTTGCTGCGGGCGGGCGCAGACGCGGCGGCGCGCGATGAAAAGGGCAAGACGGCGCAGCAGTCGGCCAAGGAGAACGGCAACGCCGAGTGCGTCAAGGTCTTGGCTGAGGCGGCGGCGGCTGCAGACGGCCGGGCAGGGGCGGGCGGCGCCTCCTCGGGCGCGGCAGCGGCAGCGGTGGACGCGCCGCTGCTTGGGCAGCGAGTCGTGCTTGGAGGGCTCTCCTCGCGCCCCGAGCTGAACGGGCAGCGGGGCGTGGCGCAGAGCTTCGAGGGCGGGCGGTACGCGGTGGCGCTCGAGGGCGGCGGCGAGAGCGTGCGGGTGCGGCCGGGTAATCTGTCGCCGGCTGCGGCTGAGCGGGCGTCGAGCGGTGCCTTGGCAGCCCCCGATGCGGTCATCGCAGCAGCGGAGCGTGGCGAGGAGGAGGCGGTGCTGGCGTGGCTATACAGTGGCGGGCGGGCCGACGCGACGTACGAGAGAGGCAGCGTGAGCGGCATCACGCTGCTGATGGGCGCCGCCAACTACGGCCACGAGCGGGTGGTCGAGCTGTTGCTGCGGGGCGGGGCAGAGGTCAACTTGCAGAGTAGTGCTGGCGGCACTGCGCTGATGTTCGCCGCCGGCCAAGGCCACGAGCGGGTGGTCGAGCTGCTGCTGCGGCGCGGCGCTGAGATCAACATGCAGGACAGCAACGGCCTCACCGCGCTGATGTGCGCCGCCAGCCAAGGCCACTCCGCCGTCGTGCGGCGCTTGCTGCGGGCGGGCGCAGACACGGCGGCGCGCGCTGAGAACGGCATGACGGCGCTGCAGCTGGCCAAGGAGAAGGGCCACACCGAGTGCGTCGAGGCGTTCCGGCAGCACGTCAAGGAGTCGGTCGTGGCGGGACGGATCGCGGAGACGGCAGCCGGCGGCGAAGGCGCAGGCGGCGCTTCCTCCGGCGGCGCTTCCTCGGCTGGATCGAGAGTCGCGACGACGCTATCTCCAGCGGTGGCGGCGGGGCGGGCGTCGAGCGGTGTCGTGGCAGTCTCCGACGAGGTCGTGGCAGCGGCTGAGCGAGGTGAGGAGGAGGCGGTGCTGACATGGTTTGACGGCGGCGGGCGGGCCGACGCGACGTACGAGAGAGGTGAGGTGAGCGGCATCACGCTGCTGATGGGCTCCGCTGTGTTCGGCCACTTGGGGGTGGTCGAGCTGTTGCTGTTGCGGTGTGGGGCGAAGGTCAACCAGCAGACCAGCGACGGCGGCACCGCACTGATGGGCGCCGCCCGCTACGGCCACGAGCGGGTGGTCGACTTGCTGATTCGGCACGGCGCAGAGATCAACCTGCAGAACAGCCGCGGCTACACCGCGCAGAACAGCCGCGGCGACACCGCGCTGATGCTCGCCGCCAGCCAAAGCCACGAGCGGGTGGTCGACTTGCTGCTGCGGCACGGCGCTGAGATCAACCTGCAGAGGAGCGACGGCATCACCGCGCTGATGATCGCCGCCCGCAACGGCCACGAGCGGTTGGTCGACGTGCTGCTGCGGCACGGCGCGGAGGTCAACGTGCAGAGGAGCGACGGCATCACCGCGCTGGTGCTCGCCGCCCTCCCCAACCACCCCACCGTCGTGCGGCGCTTGCTGCGGGCGGGCGCAGACGCGGCGCCCACTGTCAACGGCAAGACGGCGCTGCAGCTGGCCAAGGAGAACGGCCATGCCGAGTGTGTGCGCGCTCTCGAGGAGCACTCGTCGACCGCAGCAGAGGCGGAGGGGGAGACGGCGGTCGCAGAATCAGCCGAGCAGGCCGCGGCGGCCACGCGCGAGGTGGCAGCGGCAGCGGAGGCGGCGGAGGCGCGCGATGCTGCCGAGGCGGCGCTGCGTGAGGCGGTTGAGGCGTGCGAGCGAGGCGATGCTGATCTCGAGGCGCTCAGGGCGGCGATCAACGCGAACACCCAGGCCGCCGACGGATCGGAGGCGCTGCGGGCGGCGCGGCGGCTGCGCGACGAGCTGGCGGAGCGAAAGATCCGCGAGGCCAGGGCGCTGAAGCGGCAGCGGCAGAAGAAGGAGAAGGCGGCAGCGGCGGCAGCGCGGGCGGCGGAGCGGGTGGCGGAGCAGGCGGAGGAGGCGCGGGCGGCTGAGGAGGCGCGAGTGGCGGAGGAAGCGGATCGGATGGTAGCAGAGGATGCGGCGGCGCGGGCGGCGGAGGAGGCGGAGGCGGCGTCGCGCGCAAGGGAGGAGGCAGAGGCGAG